ATCTTGATTTGCTAATGGTGTCGAGAGATTTCCTATCTGTGAACTTTTCGGATATTTTCAGGATTTATCTTTGAACAGAGTTATTTTTTATTCTTGTGATCTTGATTTGTTATCAAGTGATTCCGTTGATTTCGGAAACTCGCGAAGAAAGTATAATCACGAATGACTGCCGCAATATTGGAACACAGGAAATTAGTATGCGAACTCCTTTCCTTGTTTAGAAATGATGAAAAAGTTCACACAAGTCTGAATATTAAACGTGAACTCCAGATTTCGAAGGAAAGATAAATCGGACTGCGACTTTCCGCGGAAAAGTGCTAAACACTCGTCAGACGAAAATAATCCAATATCGGCGGGAATTTTTAGTTGTATTTTAATATATTTAACCGATCGATGATCAGAGGCGATCGCCAGCCGAACAAGAGCGTGAAAATTGTCACGGCAGGAAGAGAGGCCTCGGGATCGGTCGATGGCGCGATACCGGAGCGATGTCGGCCCCCTATTAACCGGGTTTTATTGGTACACGAGCCAGCCGCGTTGGCTGACCTACGACCGGCAACAGTTAATCAATGCTTTTATGAGCATTCGCTCGCCGGTACAGCGTCGTTGCAGCCGCGACCGGGCAAACCGCCCCTCGCCACCCACTCGGTGGACGCCTGTCTCACCCTTCCGCCACCCTCTATCGCGTTGCATACGGACGGTCGTTCTCTATCGCGTTTCACTATGAAAAACCATGAAGATCTGATTCTTCATCGATACTCAAACGACACAATCACCCTAAATCATCGTTAAACCATTCACTGCCAGTCATATACTCGTAGCAAGAGATTGCCAGTTTGGTAAAATCTTGATTGTATTTGAAATGTCTCGTAATATAAAATAAATTGAAAGTACAAATGAAATCACACATTTTATGCTAGTGAATGGGTTATTCGTCATTGTTATAAAATAATAAGGAGTATTGTATAGAACGCCTAAACATCTCATGGCAGTGAACGTAACAAACTTATCTCGCTTCCGAACTGAACATTCTTCTCGAAATAAATATTCCAAACAGTTCACTGATACACAAACGAGATCAACGTATCATTAAAAATTCCTCTAAACAACTCTCCGACCAAAGTGTCACACTGATACTCGAAACATTCAAAATTCTAGATTCCGCATCCTAAATAAAACACTCCATACAAACATTCTAATTCATCGATGCTCAAACAAGCGATTCATCCAGAAGCAACTCTCAAAACAGAAAATCCCCCATCAAACATTTCACCGGCTCGCTCGCGGTGGTGATTCACGGATCATTAAAAGACTTGGCTCGCCCCTAAATAGAAAACCGGCCGTGAAGCGGAGCCGTCGCTCAACCCCCGTGTGTCGCGCGTAAACGCGGATACCTGGATAATTGACTTAGTTTGCGCATTAATGTACGATTCGCTATGCATTAGGTCATATAATATAAATTGCGGCCGGCCAATTTGATTAATGCTATTTCGGTAATCGATGCATTAAATAATTACGGGGGCGGGGTCCGCCCGGCAGAGGAGGACGCGGCAACGGAACGCGAGCGACTCCGACGTTAGCCGATAGTCATTAGTTTATTACCGTAGGCCGGCCGGCTAGTTCGTGGCGCGCGGAATATAGTTTTCATCGGAAAACGATCGACGTGGGCCGAGCGGACGTAAGCCGGCAGGAAAAAGACGCGAGGAAACGGCCGCACGCGACTCGCACACGCCAAGTCGAGCCCTCCTCCGCGTCCCCCGGCCTTTTTGCACCCCCCTGGTCGTCGTTCCTCTCGCTCCGCCCGCAGGCTATTTATTTTTCTCATCGGTTTTAATTTCGTAGAGACAACATAGATGCGTATCGGGCATCTGCACGCCCGCGCGCGCCCGCGCGCCGGTACACACGGCCATTGTGCCGGCCATTGTGCCACGGCTACGTCCCGAATGGATGTTACGCCGCCGCTATCGGGATCGGATCTCGCTCGTTGAGTTTATTAATTGCGTTATGGCAAGTGCCGCTCGCCTACCGGTCCAAATTGAAAAAAATCCCGCGCGCGAGAGCGGCCCTCTCTCTCCCTCCCCCGATCTTTTCCACTGTTTTCGTCCCCTCGCCGCGTAGGATGTGCTTTTTTCTCTTTTCCCTCGGATCGGCTCGACGATGAATGCACCGGCACTTTGCGTATACGTGTTTCTAGCGGAACCGGCGAGTGACTAGTTGGAAAATAAAGGTGAACGTGTTAGGTGAGGTTTCCTTGGTGGAAACAGATAAAGAATATGGAACGTTGGGAAACTGAGAATGTTTCTTAGAGTTTAACATCGATTATTCGATTGGTACGTTTAATGTTATTTAGATTGCAAAAATTGAATCTGCAGGGATGTTACTCGTTATAACAACGAATGGAAGAACCTATCTAAAGATAACTAATTTCTCACGATATTCTCCAACTCCGAAAATTCTTCAAAGCTACAAACTCCTTGTTCTACGTTCCACAAACAGATCGATCTTAAATTTTCCATGCAAATTAGAATACTCCATCGACAAACCCACCCGTCCAGCGACAAAAACCACCCCGTCTTCGCGAGACCTCGCAGCGATCGGCAATCGAACGCAAGAACTCGATAACCAGGAGCGCTCGCACAACGGCGATCAATCGTACCCGGTAAAGGGGAACCCGGAATCGTAAAACAATTATACAATTACCGCGAGCTCGTAATTAATTGGCCGCCGTTTCAACGTTTACCTCGGCTCGGCGCTGCGCGGCGCGGCGCCGGTCCTGAAACCGGCCGCGCTCGTCCGCGCGCGCGGTATTAATTCATTAACGTTGCACCGTCGAGCGTATTTGCTCGTAAAATTGAACGGGCCCCGGCGTATTCGCGATTATTTGCTCAGTCGATTTCGCGCGCCGCGATCCGCCGCCGTTCGGCCGTTTCCCCCGGTAAAAATCTCCGCGCTCGGACCGCGGTCGGCGCTCTTACGAGCGTCTTTCGGCGAGTCGGAGGAGGACGAGGACGAAGGAACAGGGGATGGTGAACGGAAACGATGCGGAGACTGTCCGTTCGGGCTAGGATATTCTGGTATCGGCAACCGCCACCGCCAGGCCGCAACACGACGGTGCAGTTGCAGTTAATTTGCTCACTCCAAGTGTGTTTGATTCCCCTAATTAATTGATCGGTGGGGTCACCGAGGCCCGGCGCGTATACGGATGGCAGTAATCAAGTGCGTGCCCCTGGTACCAGGGCTACGCGAGCACACACTCCGCGGACGAGTAGACCACTCCAATGCGATACGGCCCCGTCTTTCCCCGCTTTTCATGATCAACGCTGCGATCTTTCCTTGGTTACGGCTTCCATCGATTTCGGGGCGATGTTAGCCCTTTGCGGTCCGGAGTGCTCTTGGTTCCTGACTTTGAGGTCCACGTTGATGTTAGTTCATTCGATTAGAGATTAATATGACGCTCTATTTATTCATTCGAGAATATTTGGGAGTCATTGGAGTGTTACCTTTAAATGGTACAATTGTGATACTACGAAGAAATATAGAAAAAATTGTTAAAGGTTGCAATAAAATAGAATGTTGAATCTGACTCGTTAGAGATTGCTAACTGAGGTCTTTATCATTTGGATTTAGAATAAGGACGTCGGAGAGTTTCGAATCGAAACGATTGAATTGAATTGATCTAAAGAGAATCTGCACGTGAGTCTCATATATATTATATATTAAGTTTAATAAATTTGCGAATGAGATTGCTGTAAGAGTTAACGTCCTTATCCTTAAGATTCAGCTAAGAAAATCAAAAAATCATGAACCAATATTAAATTAAATATCAGATCTGTACATCACAGCAGTGAAAGTTCTCGCATACATCATCAATATTAAACGAATCCAACCGATTCGCGAGTGAAATCTCAAATATCCCCTTCCCGGGGAATCTTTATATCCCCCCGAACTTCGTATCTTGCAAACTTGTATCTCGCTACCGGGTGCTTCGCAAACTTTTATCTCGCAAACTGCCGTGTCGCAAACTCCCATCCCGCGAACTTTCACCCGGGATCCCGATAAACAATTCGACCGCTGAAACCGCGCGATATTGTTCGATATACTCGTCAGAGGAATCCCATCGCGAAGGGCCGTTCCAAGCGCGAATCTCGCGTCCAATAAACATATTCCCAGTTGCATTCCGGGGTCCCCGATTCCCACCGGGTCCCCGCCGCGCCATGTTCCCGGGGACCGTTCCGCGGCCTCCTCCCCGAGAGTCCATAATCCCTAATCCCCGGTATCCGCGGAGTGATCGCGCAGCATCGTTACGGCTGCTTAAATAACCGTGCTACATGGCGCAACACTGTCGTCAAAATCCGTGCCATTTCCATAAAAGCTGCGGGCCGGTGCGCGGCGCGCCGTCCCCGGGCCGCGGGTATAAAATACGAAGGAACGGGGCGAGAGAGAAAACACGGGTCCCGCGAATGGTCGAAAAGTCGTTCGCAGGCTCGTAACCGGAATCGTAAGAGCCGCTGAACGGCGCGACCGGTCGCTCGCTCGGATCGATCCGGAGACAACGGGTGACACGCTCTTAACGCTGCGAACGCCGGCCAATCAAATTCATTATTTCGGAATTTTTCGTGTAAATTCTGGGAACGGTCTCGTCGGTGTCCGTAATCGATGTGAATACGAAGGCAGACTCTGTCGAACTACATCGAATAAAATAATAGAGACAAAGAAACAGTGCACCGATGTTTCGGTGGTTTGGTAATTAGACTGTTTGCGTGCAACTTAGTATTCATCAAGCTGAATATATAACAGTATTAACCCCTCGTCGTACTATTCACTTTCACTAAGCTCGCGTAATATTTTACTATCGACGATTTGTAAGAGATGCAACACAAAACGCAGCGTACAGCTATACGAAAACGTCTCGTTCCGACGTGTGAACGGAAGTTTCAAAGGGGTCACGGATCGATATAGGACGGTTGAACCGTCGAAAGAAAAGGGAAGAGTCTGCTCACCTAAGTGCCCGTTCTCATAGTAGTCCCCGTTGTCCATTCTGTGCTTCTTGAGCGAGTGCTGGGGGTGGTGGCCGGTCGTCGCTGCCAGGTGGCTGGCCGCTAAGCTCAGGCCCACTGATGCCCTCTTCGGTGGTCTTCCTGGCCTGGAGCTGTACAGTGGTAGAGAGTTACTGTGGTTAGAGACACCTGTCATCGAGGTAACGTCTTACCCCGATCCGCGTCGTTACGACGCGCTCGTCGTAAGTTCCGCTAGAACCCGACGCCGCGGGATCGTTCGCCGGGCCGATCCCCGTCCGGCGATGATTGATCGATCCGAAACGAACCGTCCCGATCTATCGGCGGTAATTTTGAAAGCGGCCGAGAAAGAGGCCGCCGAGGAGAGTGCTCTGAATATTCACGAATACGTCTGCCGCCCGACTGTAATTACAACGTGGAAGTCGCGTATTTCGTTCGGCCACCCTGACTGCCCTCTTAAAGCACGGCCATCGCGACGGGTGGGATGTATCTTGAGCGCGTCCGTCAGTCTTTAAGCGTATGCAAATGAAATTAATAATACGGCTCTTTAACGAAAGTCCTTAACGAAACACGGAGGATCGCGGGCTCGGAGAGTCGAAGACTCGCAGCGCGGAATTTGCTGTTGTTGACAGTATTACTGAATTTATTGAATTTATTGTGAATGATTTGAAATAATCATGTCTTCGTACGTTCGTTAGAGAAGTATATGTATTTCCAGTTCGCGGGAGATAGATCGCATGAAAGTAATTTAATCGGAAGAAGATCGTATTAACACCGAGTATCGATAGAAAGGATTGTTCGGTTGATTCCGGGCACTGTTGAAATGGTTAGAATGATCGACGAACGCGACGGGTGGGATGTATCTTGAGCGCGTCCGTCAGTCTTTAAGCGTATGCAAATGAAATTAATAATATGGCTCTTTAACGAAAGTCCTTAACGAAACATGGAGGATCGCGGGCTCGGAGAGTCGAGGAGACTCGAACCGCGCGGAGTTTGCTGTTGTTGACAGTCAATATTACTGAATTTATTGAATTTATTGACTTTATTGAATTTATTGAATTTATTGAATTTATTCTGAATGTTCGCGATTTGAAATAATCATGTGTTCGTACGTTCGTTAGAGAGATATATGTATTTCCAATCAGATTTCCAAGAAAGATCACATGAAAGTAATTTTATCGGAAGAAGATCGAATTAACACTGAATATTGATAGAAATGATCGTTCGGTTGAGCAGTGATTCGGGCACTGTTGAAAGGGTTAGAATGATCGCCGAACGCGACAGAGCGAGAGCGGTCTTTCCCGAGACAGTTGGATTCGGAGATGCTGCGGAGGGCCGGGCCTCCCGGCGCTCAGGCCGAAGGCTGCGGGAGAGAACTCGATGACCGAGTTCCAGTCGCTAGGAGCGTCAATTAGTCTATGCGGGGAACGAGCGCGTTTCGAGAACTGGTTCTCGGCCGGCTCGCACGGAGGCAGCGAAAATCCACGATTAGCGAGCGCGAGCGTGCGAGCACGAGCGAAAGTGCCACGAGTTGCCGGAGATACCGGCTAATACGTAGTGACGGTGCCGCGATAAACCTAATAGAGGGGAAGATAAAGGTGCGCGTGGGACGACAAAACGCGCCAAATAGCCTGCGCATTTGCATAAGTTATCGTCACGAGGACTTTATGGTCCTCTTGCGCGCGCGTCGAGCCGAGTACCAACGGTACTGCGCCGAAATTCTTACAGCTAGATCGAAATCGAGCCGAAATCGCCGGGGAACCGACGTCCATCGGTCCGGATGGGAAAATCGCGATATTCCGGTGAATCGAGTTCAAAGATAGAACTGGCTACTAGTTGCTTAGAATATATAGAGACTATCACTCGTGTTCAAGTTTGTGTTAAATGTGGTAGTACGCGTGTAATTTATATTAATTGGATTAGTAATATATGTACTCTATTTTGCGAAGATTCATCTATCTACTCTCGTGTCAAGCTTAACCCTTAGACGGAGGTTCTCCGAAGTATACGAAACCTTCATCTAAATTATCAATTGCTTAATTAATAGAAGAAGAGGAAACCACACACTGACCTCTTGTTACTCAACTAAATATATAAATACTTTAATGAATCAAAGAAACTACAAAATTATTAGATTCTCCACACATCCAAATTTTGTACTAAGGAAAATAGATCGAAGAAATGTTATAGCATTCATTTTCGCCGGGAGTACTATAAAAATTAGTTGCTGATAGATTAACAACCTGGAGTGTTAAGAGTTAAATCAATCACTTCTTCCAAATACAAACATTCCATATCGTAATCAGTCGAGAATAATACTCGTGCGTCATTCCGGAAACGAACAATACACATTTAACGTTTGAGACCAGGTAATCTCACCCTCGATCTTTCCAGAGTAAACCCATCGACGGCTCCTCTCGCGTATCGCGGCGGAATCCGGAGAGCACGCGGTCGCGGTCCATAACAGTCGGACAAAATAAGAGCGGCGTCACGATGGAAAACCGTGACGCGCAGGGAACGGGCACCGCGGGTCAGAGAACGTGTGCTCGATATTTATATCCAGGCGCCAGTCGGATCGGTCCCGGTTGAGCATCTCTGGCCCCCGGTAAGCGAGCAATCTCATAGTAGTCAGGACAGATTTGTAAATCTAATTTTTCATCCCGTCTTTCTGGGCTGGCTTCTCTCGCTTCGCCTCGTCGTTCCCGGAGAGAGAATCTTCTTCCTCGTCCTACGTTTAACTCTCGCCCCCTCGCCCC